GCGAAAATGCCAACTCGTTCCTGGTAACAATGTCCCTGGCACGACCAACAAAGGTGACTGCGTGATAATAATACAATGCCATCACATACCGTACTGTACCGTAATTAACTTTATTTACCATAAACCAACACACATTAGCGCCACTAAAGTGTTTGCTATCAGGCCGTAACTGGAACGACAAAGTGAGATGCCCGGTTTGATTATAAAAAAAACACACACACACCCAGACACGTTCATGGGTGGAAGATAAAAGCATTTGAACACAGAACTCAATAAGGTTAATGAAGGTGGGGTTTGTTTTTACCGGTGCCTGCGGAGGGAGGCCGATTGGGCGGACTGGCATCCCGAATGTGTTTGTGCCCAGGCTGTGCAGAACCAGTTCTCCCGTTCCTCACCCCCACCATTATCAGCAGAGGAGGAGTTGCAGGAAATCCGGGAGCGTTGAGTGATGGATCTTGGAGGTGAATGGGCAGAGCGTGTGTCAAGGGGCGCGTGATGGTTTACCCACCCCCTCGTGTGCCACAGTGCCGGCCTTCATAGGTGCTCGCAAACAGCACTTGCCCCGACAGTCTGTTCAGGCTATACGGGGGACCTTTGTCTTTGTAATGGTTTAGTGCCGGGGTTCATAGGTGCTCGCTAACAGCACTTGCCCCGACAGTCTGTTCAGGCTATACGGGGGGCCTTTGTCTTTGTGATGGTTTAGTGCCGGCCTTCATAGGTGCTCGCAAACAGCATTTGCCCCGACAGTCTGTTCAGGCTATACGGGGGACCTTTGTCTTTGTGATGGTTTAGTTCCGGCGTTCATAGGTGCTCGCTAACAGCACTTGCCCCGACAGTCTGTTCAGGCTATACGGGGGACCTTTGTCTTTGTGATGGTTTAGTTCCGGCGTTCATAGGTGCTCGCTAACAGCACTAGCCCCGACAGTCTGTTCAGGCTATACGGGGGACCTTTGTCTTTGTGATGGTTTAGTGCCGGCGTTCATAGGTGCTCGCAAACAGCACTTGCCCCGACAGTCTGTCCAGGCTATACGGGGGACCTTTGTCTTTGTGATGGTTTAGTGCCGGCGTTCATAGGTGCTCGCTAACAGCACTTGCCCCGACAGTCTGTTCAGGCTATACGGGGGACCTTTGTATTTGTGATGGTTTAGTGCCGGCGTTCATAGGTGCTCGCAAACAGCACTTGCCCCGACAGTCTGTTCAGGCTATACGGGGGACCTTTGTCTTTGTGATGGTTTAGTGCCGGCGTTCATAGGTGCTCGCTAACAGCACTTGCCCCGACAGTCTGTTCAGGCTATACGGGGGGCCTTTGTCTTTGTGATGGTTTAGTGCCGGCCTTCATAGGTGCTCGCAAACAGCATTTGCCCCGACAGTCTGTTCAGGCTATACGGGGGACCTTTGTCTTTGTGATGGTTTAGTTCCGGCGTTCATAGGTGCTCGCTAACAGCACTTGTCCCGACAGTCTGTTCAGGCTATACGGGGGACCTTTGTCTTTGTGATGGTTTAGTTCCGGCGTTCATAGGTGCTCGCTAACAGCACTAGCCCCGACAGTCTGTTCAGGCTATACGGGGGACCTTTGTCTTTGTGATGGTTTAGTGCCGGCGTTCATAGGTGCTCGCAAACAGCACTTGCCCCGACAGTCTGTCCAGGCTATACGGGGGACCTTTGTCTTTGTGATGGTTTAGTGCCGGCGTTCATAGGTGCTCGCTAACAGCACTTGCCCCGACAGTCTGTTCAGGCTATGCGGGGGACCTTCGCAAGGTGCGGCTTGTATTTGGCTGCCGCTATCAATTTCCGCATAATAAGTTCGCCGCCTTCGTTGAGCTATCGTTAGTGGCCAGGTCGCGTCTGAAAAAAGTTTCATAGCTCAGTGGGCCATACCTGGTAAAAACATACAGTAAAACATTGGACACTGGATTCATAGGGTTGTGTAAAAATCTAAACATTTTCATAATCGATTAATAATTACCGGTTGCTCATGCCAGGAAACGATGATCGTTTAATCGACTGTTAGTGATGAAATAGACCGATTGGTTTGGCAGGTTTGAATGGACAAACCGCAAAGCGGCATAAGTCATCACGTGGTTTGTTTGCCCTCATTTCTCAGGTAAAGGTGCAACCCTATAACATGATCTGCTTGCTAGCGCATGCCACTGCTGATGAAAGGGCCTACGCTAGTTGGAGTTCTGGGGCGTATACGGCCTCGTCTTCCACGCTGACCACTTTAAACTAGACTATTTTTTATTTTACCATGACCACACGTTCAATGAAGTGGCTTATCATGTGGAAATGTATAGCAGCCAAATACTCTAAACGCATGTTTCTACTAGTGGAGGGAAAAACCTGAAGACCCGGAGCAAAATCCACGCGACCACGGGGAGAACATGAAAACTCCAAATATACAGGAGTCAGGGTCGGGATGGAACTCTCCCCATTACTTTAACCGCGGCGCAAGCAGATGGCATCAAACCGGTGACTTCAAACACAATCGCGATTTAACTATGAATGTTGGGAGCACATCGGAATAAAAATTCAGCAACAACGTTCGTTTAGAAATAAATCGTCACTTTATTTTGTAACAATAAAGAACACATTAAGCACATGAGTGCAACGAAGCGTTGATTCGCATTGTTTTCATGGAGGTACAGCACATTTTTAAGAAAACCATTTTCTTTTTATCAATGGGGTTCATGGTTTGCATCAGCTAAGAGGGCAGTTTAATGTAAATCCCAATTTAGTCAACCCTCAAACGGCACTTTGAAAATGGCCTTTTCCACTGTTAGGTCACAATTAACGTATAAAAAAAGCTATAAGCAAAATTAATCTTGCAAGGCGATAATATTTACACACATGTTGGACATATTCTTAGGTTTTTTTTCGGTAAAGTCACGTGATTTTACCGAAAAAAACCTAAGAACATGTTGGACAGTTTTGTAAATGAGAAAAGAAAACAAGTATACACAGACGGTTAAACTTATTCCAAGTTTTAGAAGCATCTGAAAAGTAGTGATTAGATACATGTAAAATTGTTAACCGCAAAATTATACAATAAACAATAGTTTGTATATACCACGCTGCAGAACACATACAGTGGTTTTCGAGTCAAGTCTTGGGTTTACCATGGCCTTGTAGAATTCCCCCGACGATATCTACAACTCAAGGTCTCGTGGAATAGAGAAGGTTGTCTTTTTCCAATATTTGCAAAACGACAAAAGGTGCAAAACTACACAATGAAGTTAACAGAAGTGCTGCCAGAGTTAATGAGAAAAGGCAGAGTGGGCTGCAAGTTGGTAATTATTTTAAAAGTAACTTTAGTACAGAACTCCGGTTGTATAAAATTCTGGAAATGCAGCAGAAATCCCACGAATCTGCAGAAACCAAATGTTTTTGTTGTTGCAAAATAATAGTATAAATCGAACTTTAACTGCGAGCTTCAAAGTGAACCCTGCCCACATCTGCGGGTTGTGGTATGTCGCCCACGGTGCGTTTACAATCCGCTGCGGCGCGCTGCGGATTACGGGGCATTCGCAGACCGACGATCCGTGAATTACAGGGTTTGTGCGGATTGGAGCGCGGATGTTTAAAATTTCTACTGTACTAATATCGGAGAAACCTTTACGGATGAATTTTTTTATAACTTCAGTATGGCGATGCGAAAAAGGTAAAATGGGATTTGTTATTGCTTATCTGCCATGCCCAAGTTGGAAAAACAAAAATACGTGAGAACATTATAAAAAAAAAAGTGAGAATATTCAACAATTCTGATAATCAAAATCATCAATTACCATTGTCAAATCACAGCCAGACGAAGTGTTCTTTGTGTTAAAACAAGTGACCAAAATTCCAGGCACTACTATTTCTTAATTCTGCATGCTTACGATCTGTTAAGTGAACTCAGAATTCCTGCTGTCAACAGGTCTCCCTTTTGCTTGGATAGTCCAAGCCTCCTTAGGGTTCTCAGGGCAATTAAGCAAGTTCAAAAGTGGACGGGGTAACGATATTCAACATGTTCACCCTTTCCCATTCCGATGACAAACATTTCCTTAATTATATTTTCTTCCGATTTCATTAGAAAAACAAAAAATAACTATCGGTATATCTTCAGGTTGGAAGACATACCAAGGCATGTGGCACAATTTGGTGCCAGCTATCATAGAGTGCGGTTGTGTCGCTACAGTTCTCTGCGGTGAGTACAATGTGTTTAAAAACAACGGCGCTATGCCTCCATGATTCAGAGGTGAACGGGACCCATCCTGCAACTTGCAGACATCTTGGAATGGGAAAGGGTTAATTACCAAACCCTGAAATACCAACATGTAAGACAACATAATAGCACACATGATTTCATCTTCAAACATTGCAACAAAACCACTTACAGTTACATCTGCACTTAGGAAATTTGTACAATGTAAACAGAAAGTAAGTTACACAAAACATCCATCAAGTAATTACGCACAACTGTAGTAAATAACGTGAAACATAAAAAATAAACATATTCTTTGGTTCTTTCGGTCAAGTCACGTAGATAGAAAAATAATAATAAATGTAGTGAATAAAAATAAAATAGAAATAATTAAAAAACACTAATGTAGACTGTAGCCTGGTTCTTAATCGGAGTGTATTGGAAATCTATAATGTGGACTGTAGGCTGATTGTTAAGCTGGGTGAGTATACTGGCAGTCTATAATGTAGACTGTAGCCTGGTTCTTAACCTTGTTGAGTGTACTGGCAGTCTATAATGTAGACTGTAGCCTGGTTCTTAACCTGAGTGAGTGCACTGGCAGTCTATAATGTAGACTTATTCTGGTTCTTTCAGTAGTAAAAAAATTAAATAAAAATAAAAACCACGACGTTTCGATCGCAACACAAGCGGTCGTCATCAGGAAAAGGGGGGTTAGCCTCTCAAGGCAAACTGTTTTTAAAGGTTTAGAGATGGGCGTAGCCCAAGTGTGTCAGCAGCATGGGCGGGGCAGCTAATGTTAATGTGCGGCTCTTTACGGGCTGCTTCTTGACGATGAGTACGTATGTACTCAGATGCATTGCGGCTCTTGAAATACTGAATTTTGTACCGAATTGGAAAGAAATGGCTCTTCTTGTTATTTTGGTTGCCGACCCCTGGTCTACACCAAAGGGCCACCAGGCAATCATTGCACCTCGCTCCACACACCCACACTGCTGACGGTGGAGGTTGATAAGAAAACAACGGCGCTCTGCCTATTTTTTTTATTAACTTTATTTCTTATTTTTTATATCTACGTGACTTTACCAAAATAACCAAAGAATATTAATTCGTGCAGTCACGAAAGTTTTAAGTAAAAAAATAACCGTTTTGGTATTGTCACTTAACTGTAATGGAAATTAACAAGTATACACACTTTTACAAAATGCCCCTTGAAACAGTTTAAAAAACATAGGTAATGTAAAACCATCGCGGTTAAGGAGTTTGAAAGTTTAGAATGTTTTTAGTGCATGCAGCTTGATAAGATGCAAGAGACAGATCAAGTAAAGACTGGGTGCATTAATTTAACATGTGGTAGGCTTTCACGACAGTCGGGTGGTGGCGGGTTTAATGACACATTTATATTTACGTGGTCTAACCCAAAAAAAACTATATTATGGGTGCATTAGTGTTGATGCTTCAGCACTAAGCTATCCCCAGAACATGAATTTGCACAAGATACCTGGCCAGAACCCATGAATATATCAATTCGGAGTCACAGTTATTAAAGTGCCAGACAGCACAATCATTTTCATAATAAAGGTTTTTGGGTTAGATCGCGTAAGTATAAATGTGTCGTACCCCTAAACCAAAAAACCTTTGTTGTGAATAATATTGGTCGCGAAAGGCTACGTGTTAAAAAGCACAATGTTTGACAAGAGAGTCCCCCCGTTCAAGGCCAATTGCGCGTGGGAACGTTGCATTCAATTGTCATTTGTAACTTTGCGTCTTCACTCGCCATTACCTAAAACATAGTACCAACACAATTTAGTGGAATTTGGGCTGGTAAATGGTTGTTTTAATTCAAAACTATGGGTCCAAGGAATCCCCCAAGGTAGGTTTCCCTTGTGACCTTGGTATCAAGATCAACAACATAATTAGGAGAGAGGCGTTGCCTATGGCAAGTGTGGTGAACATTGGAAACATCAGCACAAAGTGGAAAGGGTGGTCTTCCAAAGTATACGGCGAGGTGGAGTAACATTGTTCTATTCGACGGCATGTGTTTTTATGGCTATCTTCAGTGCAGGTACACAGAGTGCCTAGCTAGCATGATCAGTGCAGGTTAAAAATACACTTAAAAGACATATTTGAAAAACCTTCGTCAGGTATGTCATTACATAATCGACATTCATCTGAACCATTACAAAACTCCACGTGCAATTTTCATTGCTCAACATCATGTGCACAAGTGCACACTTTACATAAATATTAATAAAGCATGTTTAATGCTTTGAATGTATACCTTTTTTTAATTTAACTCGCACTGCCCATGCATTTGTGCCAGATACATAACCGGGGTCGAGGGTGGTGTTGGGGGGGGGGGGCCTGATGACATCATCGCGACGCAAGGAACCCGGCCCAGCACTGTGGGATGCGGGTGACATCACCACACAAATGTAAGCGGCGAGGTTACCACCGCACACTTACCAGCCCAGTGTGCCAGCCAGCCAGCCAAACTTTGTTTTATATCAGTACAGTAATACCTCGGTTAACGAAGCCTCTGGGAACGAAGCTTCTTTATCACGAAGTTGACCGTGGAGGGCCCCTATCCGGCCCCCTATATTTGTAAAAATCGACAAAAAATGAATACCTTCAGAAATCATGCAAAGCGATTCAAAAGAGTAAAACTAATTTAAATGCTGCACACGCCCTCTCACCACGGCCAAGCGGAGTTTGTTTAGTGGCCAATCGGCAAAGAGCGTCGCGAATCTTCCCTCACTTGGCCCAATCAGCGGCGCGCTTCCCCCGGTCTTCCCTCTCCTGCCCGCCACTGCTCGAGCTCCTTGTGTTGTTAGTAAAATGCGATCGTGTTTTATGCAGTGGTAAAACAATTTGACTACCCCCAATTTTGTCATCTAAACGACCGTCTAGTGCTAGTGGCCTTGCTGGGCAAAAGGTGCAGCGTAAATCCATTCTCTTTGGAAACTAAAATGCAGATCACAAGGAGGGCAGAGGCAGGAGAGATGACAAGCGATATGGCTCGTTCATTAGGGTTGGCGCAGTACACCTTAAAAGACCACTTTAAACCAAGCAGAAAAAGTGAAGACTATTGTTGTTCTACCCTTCTCCTGGAACGCAACCCCACGTATGCATGTTGAACTTCTTTCGCACCGTACGTAGCCAACCGTGCTAATCGGAGCTGTTATATCTACCTCTGGTGAAGAAGTTTCTGATAACAAAGTGATATGATGGAACGCATCTCCTTCGTTAACCGATGTATTACAGTATCGCATCATTAATGAGAGCATCATCCATCCACTCACAACTGAAAATACCTATTATGTAAAGGTAATAAAAAGCAGATTTGTCAATGATCGATTTAGGCTAAGGTGAAACCACTGCTGGAAAAAAGCATTCCCGAGCCAACAAATCTCATGATCCTGTGATGTGATAGTTCAGTTGGCATCTAATCGTTATTATAATAATTCCGCAAGATAAGAATGCAAGCACCGAATTACGTGTGGAATAGTCGCCATTTTTTTTAAATCAATCGTGTAAGTTGCAGCTACGACAATGCTTCAATCACCACGGCATTTTAAAACCGGAATAGATTATTGAACAGAATCGCGATGGTAGATTACATCGCAAGGGGCGGATGATCGTCACACCCCTACTAATCAGTGCAGACGTTACACTTGCTTGTAATTGTATACAAGAGATGGTGTAAGTAAAAGTATTTTTTATTTTACCAGGTAAGGCCCACCGAGCTATATAGCTCTTTTTCAGAAGCAACCTGGAGAAAAATCCACGTGACCACGGGGAGAGACACGCAAACTCCAAATATACAGCAGGCGTCAGGGTCGGGATTGAACCCACGACCTCCTGCATATCAGGTGAGAGAGTTAACATCTTGCCACTGTGGCGCCCAAATGTTGGAGGACGGTGGACATTAGTGCTGTCGCTCACTGAACAAGCACAAATAACAGAAAATAAGGTTTGAACGTTCCCTACGTCAAGTATTCAAAAAAACATGCTCCTGTGCAACACTGCTGCACACTAAGCAAACCTTGCAGCTGTTCTGAAGAGTGGCCCATTTTATTAACACCCCGTTGGACGCTTCTTTAAGAAATAAACTTGGAACATCACCTCGTAATGCGCAACTGTGTTAAGTGCAAGCAGAAAGATCGGCCATTGTATTTCTGCGTTTGTTGTAACCCCAAATTTACAAACGAGCGGAGGGAAATGGCACGAGCACATCTCGTTGTGTTTTCAAGACACCCCCCCCCCCACCCCCAAAATATTTCTTTAGTTGGTAAACCTTCAAATATATTCCGGGAGGCAAATCTTCATTCAGATCAAAACACATTCATGTCAACGCATCGCGATTAAACAAGCCACAACATGAAATAATCCTCAAGCTACTACTCCGTTTCTCTCTCTTTGCTTTATCATCCGTCAATTTAGTTCACCTTGTAATGTTCTGCCAAGCAGTACGTTGTCAGCAGCAAGCAGATAAACGGTTAATGGAACATTTTCATCACAATATTGTGCGTTGTATTTTTCTATAAAATTAAAGTCAAAAGCCATGATGTACTGTAAATGTAAGCATGTTAATTATATAAATCCCCTTGGCACATTGTTTTCAGTGAGAGCCCTGGCAACATGGTATGGTAAAATCATTAACCATTTGCCTTCTACTATGTTATAAATCAACACTTTATGTATCTTCAAATATTTCCAGCCACATTTGCAATGCATACAATGTAACACATATACACATGTATATGCTATACTTAAGTCTTCCAAAAAAAAACTAGGGAACATAGCATGCTTATTAGTTAGGCCAGCTGTTAGTAAAAAAAAAGTGCTTTAGTATAAAATGTATCAAAAATTTTACCTATTATAATATCAAAATTTAATGGAAAAAACCCCATAACTTATCAATCAAGTACAAGTAGTTTGAAAATGAATTTTAAGTTCACTATCAGTAGTAAAATAGTCAAATTCAAGTTTGTTTTCCTCTAGGAGTTTATAGAGACTGGGACATTATATTTTACGACAGTAATCATATTAGGAATCTGTTGATATCTGTCGGTAAAAATATAGTCGCTGATTGGCCATCTGGTCATGAGGCCAGTCGACAGACGAGGAGGTGGGGGAGGGCGTGGTGGGATTAAACCGTCGAGTTTTTAAGCACTGTCATACAACCGTGTAAAAATCCAATAAAAGTTCCTCGTGTCTCTCCGACTGCGACTAAATGACAGTTTTGGCAGCAATGTATCTGCTCCTGCAGGGAAAAAAAAGAATTCGTGGCAACCTGCCACAGACTCGGCGTTTCCTACTCGCGCTCGCACACCCCCGCAGGCACTGACAGAAGGCAACGTTCTTTCTGCAAGCCCCAGCCGTCCCCAAAATCTGACAATTTTTGTGACCACGTCGAACAAAACGAGCATTTCAACAAGAGAAATGTCTCGCGCCTTGAAGGTTGAACCACCGATAGAAATCCTTTTAAAGGCAATCTGTCTAATCGGACAAATTAACACACACCTTCACGACTCATCACATCACAATATCCGGAAAGAGGATACCTTTTCTAAGTGCTTTCTGTTTTCCTTTGTTTGCTCCGGATGCGATTCGTCCCTTCATTGCGAAACACACACGCTTCGCTCCCCTATCGCCGCCGATTCACCATCCTGCCGTGAAGCGATTCACCCATTGGTAGCCTGTCAAGGTCGCAAAGCCGTTGCGAAGCAGCGATAGGCCAGTGTCGCGAAGGAGCGTCAGCGGCGGAGCCAGCGCTTCTCCAGGCAGCCGACGACGCCCAGCGCGCCGCCGAGACAGAAGCGAACGAAATTGTCCCCGACCAGCGGCCCCACCGCAAAGAGGCCACAGCCGACCCCCTGCGCCCCGTCCTCTCCTCCGTCTTCACCGTCGTCCCCTCCGTCGCCGTAGCCGCCGTCGTCGCCGCCGCGGGCCCAGCCGTCGACGCGGCGCGGCGCTCGCTCGCACTCGTACGTGAACGGGTGCACGTCGAGCGGGTTGTGGCGGCAGCTGACGGCGCGCGACGGGTCCATGGCGAGCGAGCGGCCCGCGCACGCCAGAAACGATAGGTCCGGGTTGGAGCCGATGAGGACCAGCGCCATCGACACGGGCAGCACGCGCAGCTCGCCCGCCGGGCCCTGCAGGAGCACCTTCCGGTCGGGCCGGAATTCGAGGACACGGTGCCTGCGGGTGGCGGGAACGCCGCGTACGTTACGTCACGGGGCGACAACGACCGGCGCCAAGGGCGGCGTTGGCGTCGCGGGCAAACCGGGTCTGGGCAGGGGCGGTGCTGTAATGCGAAGCTCCCTGGTCTCGCGCTCGGCTTTCATACCGCAGACCTCATTATTTATTTAAGTACTTAGTCTTAACAGGATTCTCATTTAAGACTCGCGGCCGCCCAGATATGACATTGCCGTCGATACCGACACAATCCACAAACACGCACACGATAAGGACGGCTGCCATCCACCACCAAGTGGCGGTGGCATCACTGTAGCGCTTGTTGTGCCAGGATAGGAGCTCTGAGCACACGTGCACACAAAAGCACGCGTACCCATAGCATTGTCATGATTTGGAGGTGCAAATTTTCTTCAAGAATTAGTTATCATTTAAAAAGTGTGGTGAAGTGGCTTGCAGCGTGTAAAGGAACCAATGACGTAAAACATATGCAGATCTAAAAAAAATAGATTCTTGCATGTCCAATAATCGAGTTGACTCAATAAAGATGTATCCCTTCACACCTCATATCAAGACAACTTTCCCCTTAAGTTGTATAGAATTTTGGGACAAGTGCAGTTAGTCGGCATCAATTACGGCTCACGTAGCGCAGTTATGGCTATTGCCATGACCTTTGACTTCCGAGCACTTAAGTGTACACATTACACCGGGTACTCATTTATGACTGCGTTCACCTTGGGAAGGCCCTGAACCGGTTCAGATAATCGCCACTTGTACGCAAGATGTGGCCAAGAATTGAACTCGGGTCACCGGGTTCATGCAGCAGTGCGCTGACCAATATGCTACCACCCCCCCTTATAAATACACAGACACATCAACACCACACACACACACACCCTCTCCCATCGCACCTGGGCAGGCTGGCGTATCCATTGTAGGACGTGTCGCTCTCCCCCATCATGTGATGCACCTTGTGGTACTCCGGGTAGAGCATCTTGGGCAGCTGGTTGAAGATGAGCGCGGGGTCGGTGACGGCGCGCCGGAAGGCGTGCTGCACGGGCGCCGCGTGGTGCCGCGCGGCCAGCACCGCGTCCGCCGCCGTCAGCCCCGCACCCACCACCAGCAGCGGCTCGGACTCGCGTCCCACCTCGCCCCGGGCCACCGCCCGCTCCAGAGCCGCCGGCGCGTGCTGCACGAACGGCAGCCCCTCGCCGGGCACGCCGAGCCGCGCCGGCGAGTCCGTGCCGCCCGTTGCGAGCACCACGGCGGCGGCGCGCAGCCGGAAGCACCGCAGCCGCCCTCCACCGCCGCCGCTCACCGCCAGGTGGTGGCCCCGCACCTCCCAGCGCGCCGGGCCGATGCCGTTCGCGGAGGACGCGGACGAGGGATGGAGGGGCGACGCGGACGGGGAGGACGACGACGATGACGGGCGGATAAATTCGGGGTCGCGCAGCCGGTGCACAGAGGTGACGGTGACGCCGCTCACGAAGCTCTGCTGCAGGCCCTTGCACTTGACGTAGTGGCGGTAGTAGCGGGCCACGTCCGCCGTCGTTGCTCGGTCATTGCGCAGGTGCCTGCACAATTGTGGTGCGAGTGCAAAGTACGACACACTTTACTCAAGCAGCTGCTAGACTGCGGACACATCTACTCTCATCGTTATAGCCCCTTCCCTCCCCACCGTCAAGTCCACTGCTATGCAAGGGACTCGTCCTACGTCACGTGGCCCGTGGGGGTAAATTTGACGCTGCTTCACCACAATGGTGAATGTACATCGGTGAAGATGGGGCAACATTTAGGAGCATACTGCAGTACAACAATGGACTTTTCTGCGATGCTGCCTGCTGACAGCGTAGCTATGCCGCAGCCTATGGCACCTTGTTTTAAGTGTGGTCGGTCACCCATTTGGAGCATGAGCCAGGCTCATACCTGCTTGGCTTTCCGAGATCTGATGAGATGGGGAGCATTGCAGGTGATTTGGTCATAAGAATCAAAAATTGGTTTCACTTTCCAGATTTTTCTCATTTTTCGCCTGCACTTTCCAGTGCAAAGCAATGCAAGGAGGCGACTAATGGTAGTGAGCATTACCCACAGATGGATTTCCCACCTGAAGGGAAACGGCAAATCTTATAGTGCTAGTACACAGCCTTCACCTAATGGTAGCTGTGCACCAGCATTTAAAAATGGCACAAACTGATTTTACTTCTACACTTTGGGTTGCCTCCAATAGGGAAAAAACACTACGAACTCAGCACAACCCTCCTGTCGTGCTAATGAGGTTTGCCATTTTACCAAACTGCTGGAAGGAAATACTATGTATGCAGATCACAAACTGGAGTGCTAGACTCAATCAATAAATGCTGATCGAGCATTGGGACCTAGCAGCTACTAAAGCATGCGTTGGCTCTTTCGTTGTTTCAATCAATAATTCGACTGTCATCCGGAGGCTTATGTCGCCATCCGGATTAGCTGTACCCATATTGGCTAACGTCTGGTGAACACAAAATTGTGCACAGCAAACGGCCGACGCGGGCACTGGCCCGCTCTGCCACGTCAGCTCGTCCCACGACCAGCACGCCAATCGGGCGCGAGTCATCGGCGGCGTTTTGGGTGTTGTTGGCACGGGCCCCATTTGGCACGGGTGTGGGGCAACTATCTCTATGGCCATAGAAAGAAGGGGCTTGCCAAAAGATCATCGAGGACATAAATAACGTGCCGTGTCAAATTCAAAACAGGAGACCGTTGCATCATTTGATCTCATGAAATTCTTTCATGAATACGGGGCAAAGTCATGTTTAACCGGGCTGTTAGCTGCGCTATCCACAAAACACGCGGGCTTCGGGAAGGTAGGGTTAGGGTTACGCAAACCCTATGTATTCCCGCGTTGGAACTCGCAACGTTAATTCAGCATTCATTTGTGGCATTACAAAACCCAGGTAGGCGGAACCCATTGGTGTCGAGCGGTTGCGTCGTGTCTAAAGCAACGCGTGATTTCCTGCATCGAGGTTGGCTCAAGTTCAATCAGAGTGCCAGCAACACGTAACCTGCCATTGGTGTGTTTGCGCAGCAAAGCCTCATTGAGAGTCACAACACCTGTTTGGTAGGATAGTTTTGATGTGGCCAATTAGTTTGTGTTTTTGAAAGTCAGTGGAAATCAAAGAGTACCCAGAGAAAACCCACACATAGGAGTGGATAGGAAGCTACATACATACATACAGACATGTATGTGGCTTCTTAACCTACCTGTTAAACTGCCTCCTGCATGTAATGGCTGCCAGAGGTGTATGTGCATTAATGCATGTGTACATGTGCGCACATCTTTATACAAGGTGTGTGTGTGTTGAGAAAAGAAACACGAAATACATTACAGGGCAGCAACTGCTCTCCAGCAATTATGGGGGAAGAGGTTTGATGCTCACAACAGGCAACATCAGATGGCCAAGTCAAAGCAATGGAGAATGTACTCGATGCATCTACTGGTCGTCCTAATCAGCTGACATTACATTCAGGTACATCCTGGCATCCTTCCAGGAAGCCTTTCGCCACTTCACATGGTCTCAAAGTACACAGAAGCCATTGTTAAATAATTGCCAGCTTCTGGTAAATGGCGGCTGCAGCTCTTGTAGGAACGTGGAGGTCCTCACCTGCGTTGCTCTCGAATCCAGTCCTTGAAGGGCAAATCCGGCAGCTCCATCCAGTTGCCGAGGCTTAGCGTCTGCATGGACGTGTCCATTGCCTTATAACAAGAACAAAGCAATAACGACATTACTATCGTTAGAGCTGGCACGACTGGATGACCGGGTTGATAAATCAAATAACAAGTATAATTGTCCGTAAGAGGCAAGACTTTTCTTTGCAATGTGTTTGTCGAGTAATTATACCGATAAGAATAAGAGAAATTGATAACTGTTCAAGAATCTGCACAGTAATAAATTATTTAAATAATCAATATAGCCTGGCACAAAAAGGGTGTTAGTTGTGGGCATAACGGTGATCACAATATAGTGGCAGAGTGAGTGTTAATGTAGCGGTTCCCGCAGAGAATGATTTCCAAGAGCCGAGTTCAGGTGGTGCAATTCAATGGCAATTGCTAGGTGCAATTGGGTATTTGTCTAACACCATAGGTTGTCAGGCTAAATATCAGCAGATAGTGCAATGTGGTCAGAGCCAGCACTGTGGAAGCAATGGTCTATTTTATAGTGCTTTAGAGCGGACTTTCACCACGGTCAAAGTGCATGGAGATTTAATTTTTCAACTCGATTGGTGGGCCTTGAACTGGCCGTGGCATTTCCACATTCCTATTGTCATGCCCAGTCCATCTGTAGGAAGATACCTGTGCACTTGATTAACCACTGGTTTTGACAACCGGTCTTTACATTTATTTCTCTTCCCCTCCCCACCAATGTATTACAATTGCGTTACTGGAATGATGGAATGTGAGGAAGAATAATTTTGGAAATCTCTCAGAGGAGGGCGGCCTCTGAGCCACACAACAGCTGTGGAACACATGTTTCAATCGAGTTGTCGCGAAAAAAGACGTCAAATGGCCTTTTTATCCCTTTACCCAGTAGTGGGGCAAATACGTAATACACTGTGTCATGAGAATGTCTGACAGAAGATGGTAAAACTGATATTTTCAGAAATGGAATTTAGCCAAATACAGTACAAAAACAAATTGAATGTGTGGGTTTATTCATGCCATCATTGGCATCGACTTGCTACACTTGAGATGGCAGTATACTCTTAGGTGGCTATTCGGATATGAACCCAGGATCTCAGCAGTGCCAGCTCAGCTCTCTGATCTCTGAGCCATCCAGCCTCTTCTGTTTTGAATGTTTAATGTGAAAAGTGACATTTATCTGCGGAGGCAGACACGACCAAAGTCAACTTAAAGTGCTTACTTAGCTTGTATTTCCTTGGCAACAAACTCTGCTCTTTTAATCTACGTTCTCGGCATCTACACACAAGCGTGCAGTCTTCTCTGGGAGGGTAAAATAAGTCAGGTGGCGGCCACCTCTGCGAAAAGCGGAAAGTGAATAACTCCCGATACAAAAAACTCAGCACAAACTCGTTCTACAGATAACACGCTTTATCACCGTGAGACTGGAGCAGTGGTTGTGTGGGGAGGTGGGGTGGGTGGGAGAGGGATGCAGGGTGAGAAAGGGGGGTAATCTGCGTACGTTCCACGCGCCTCCCGGTGCTCCCTTGCCGAGCACCACGTGCGGGATGGCGCGGTGCGGCTCTGGCTCCCAGCGGATCGGCGAGGGCAGGTCGGCTCCGCAGTCGGCGTCCGGGTGGAGCAGCGAGTCGAGCAGGAGGGCCACAGGGTTGGCGGAGCGCCCCTCGAGTCCCTCGCACAGGTACTCCAGGTCCTGTCCACGGAGAAACGAGCGCCGTCAGCCCGTCGTGCCAACGAGTACCCACGTGCATAAACGGAACGGCCACTTAAGCCTCACTTGGAGTGTGAGGTTTACGCGCGGCGAAATTCGCTAGGCTGAGATTTTTGGCGTACTTCATTTTATTTGTTTTGCTTTTGTCATTTAGGTGACGCAGGTTACCCTTGCAAATGCGACTACCCTGATCACTTGAGTTCCCATCTGGTTAAATAAAATAAACTGGAAATGTAGAATCTATGGAACAGTGGTTGGCGCACTGCGCTACAAACCCGGTGACCGGATTTCAAATGCCAGCCACGGCTAACATTGTGGTGAGATATGATGATCAAACAACCCCCATGATGGACATCACGGGGAGGCTTTCATCAAGCAGTGTATTGACAAATGGCTGTAGGTTTCAAAAAATAAAAATTTAAGTGAACTGGCAACTAATCGGGGTTAAGGAGGAGCATAGGAGGCAGAGCCAAGGGCTCTGAAGTAATCGTCACACACACCGTGTAACCCTTACATTAAGTTGAACTTAGGTGGTCTGAACATGTACGGCATAACCCAAGGCACACGGTATTCACAAAAATCCAGTGTGAACCCACCCTCAGTGTCCACGTGTTCTTTTTTGTGTGTGTTTAGGTTGCTGCCCTTATCCCGCACCTCCGATTAGCACGGTTTGTTACGCACGGTGTGAAATAAGTTCAATGTACATATGTATCACATAATGGAATGACCCCTAACAATGGCACTACAGAAGCACTTGTGGAGTCACTTCAGTTCGCGTCTCTCTCTCAACACTGGATGGTCCTCCCCCAGGCTATGCAAAGAGTAGTTTACCTTGCACCATCAGTCACGAATGCGATACCCATCAAAGCTGGCATCAGCCAAATTACATAAAAAAACATTACTTCACGTAAATATTATGTTTACCCTTTATGTTCGCGAAGCTAGTGAATGGACCTTTCAAATTACGCTGGCTACAAAATATTTGGTTCATACAAAATTACTTGTGGAATTAAAGCCAGGTTTTGAAAGAGGAAGTTAAAAGTTCTGGGTCAATTACTTGACAAGAGGCATCAGCTGCCTCACATCCAACCACCACACCAGGGGAGAAGGGTTAAAGTAGAACTTTTAAAATAGTTACCCACTTATAATATAAAACAATTCTAATTCCAAAATGTGCACATGTTCGTCAAATCTGGCAGCGGTCTGTTTATTTTGTCTGCAAATGCTGAACACAGGAGACTAGAAAGATACAAATATAGGCAGACTGATGGGCTTCTAGAATTACAGCTGAAAGGTCAGGGTGTACTGGGCTAAAGAGGATTGTGAAGTGAGAACGTTCCAGGTCTCATGCCAGACACAGCGGGATTAGAGCAGGAATGTGCCGCAATTTGGGTCAAAGCGAGGGAGCCGACTGTTGATTGACACGGGGTCACAGCCAGATGAACTCTTCTGGCTGGCAAACCACACGGCCACAGTGTGCGTAAGGAATGTTAAAACATTGTTGGAAAAAATTTAGTTAAAAAATTACGGAAATTTTTGTTATAAAAAACCCAATGCCAAATGCTTGGCTTTAGGTAGCTGCGCAAACCAATTGCAAAAAGATGCCAAGTTATAAGGCTGGATTTTGGTGGAAGATTTTGACAGTTATATTGGCATTTGTACATTACAGGATGCACAGGGGATGGAAAGAATGGAAGGGTTGTTGGAAAAATGGACAGGGAAAACACGGAATGTGAGAAACATATGGGCTTATGAGTGGAAAATGCAATTCATGAAAAATATCACTTATAATCCACTTTGCTGCAATTTTACCTCATTATACAAAATAATAAAATCCACAATGTTCTTTGCAAATTAATTTAAATGCACAGTTTACAGCAAAGAACATAATGGAAGAAAATTACTGTAACATTACCATAAAATAACTATTTACATTTTGCTTTAATTATACGGTTTTAAGAGCAGACTCTTAAGCCTGTAACTTAGCTGGTGTAATTTTCTACCACTACCACTTTATAAGTACAAACTTCTCCTTTTCGATGTTCATAACATTCAATGTGTGCGATCGATGACAGGAATGACAATGGTGATGACAACGACAATGGTGATGACAACGACAATGACGATGCAACTGCTGCTGTAGCTGCTGCCGAAGATGATAGTAATACAACTGTTGCTCCTGCTGCAATTGTTGTTGACGCTGCCACTGCTGCCTATGATAAGACTGCACACAACAAGGATATTCACCTGCTCCAATATGGACGTGTGCAAGTTCTCCTCCAGTTTCATCTGCAGAATGTGATTGGGATGAGGAGGGGCTCCCTCCGAGAGGTATGGCCGGTATCCAGAGAGCAGGTATGACAGGCAGATTCCAGACGGACCGTTGCCTGCCCGGGGGACAAAGATGGACAAGGATGGAGGCGTGTGTGAGCGCGCACCCGTAAAACACGCGAGGCGACGCGTGCCGTTACGTGTGAAGGCGCGCGCAGCGTGTGCTGTGCGTCCACCACTCATGAAGGAGCGTCGCTTGCACAACGCACAGCACAGACACAACACCGTGACGGCACTGTGGCACGCTGTGGACATTTTTTATCACGTTTATACGTGGCATTTTAAACACAAGTAAACAACGTTCATATACTCTATTGTACACAGTTGAGGGATGCTGCCGCAGTGGTACAATAGTCAACACACTGGACTTGCAATACAGAGGCTGCCGGTTCGATTTGATCTTCCAGCGTGGCATTTGAAACAATGAGGCAAATTTATTCTGTGCACCCAGCAGTATAAATGGGTACCCCAGTTTTTTGATTGGCAGGTAGCGTACGGTGTGGGTCAAGTGTGGACACTCGCACCTCTACAGTCATTTTACCAGCGAAAAAAAGAGCAGGAAGGCAAAAATACCCTCTCCTCGAGAGGGGCCCTTTAGAGCTCCCGCAAGTTGAGGCCCTTCAGCCAACAGTGGCATGAGCAGGCAATTTCTGGGCTGAACCTTTTATTTTTGGCAGAATACAATATAAAACACTGGCTGCACGCACTGAAAAGTGAAAACACCACACCGTCGCACAAACGCGCACAAGGAGCCTGCTCGCAAAGAGACACAGCTGGACATTCATCGGCACGCACAAAGCCGGCAACGAGCATCATGAATGAACAAGTGAGAGGCATCGCCCATGATTACGCTTCCCTCCCCACGATCTCGACTCCCTCGCTCGCCCACATTACTCACCGATGACCACGACGGGAACCGTGACGGAGCCATCATCGGGCAGAAACCCAATCTGCTCGTGCGACATTGTGAAGCTGCTGCCGCCGCTGTTGCTACTAAAGGAACAGCCCACAGCGAATGCTTCCACAGCTGTCTCCTCTCCGACAGCAGCTCCGTCTCTCTCTCCCCCTCCCGCGCTCTCTCCCTCTTCTCCCCCTTCTCTTTATGCGTTCTCTCAGCCGGCAAGGTCACAGACACTTGATGAGGCAAGAGTTTCCTTTCTGGCTCCTCTTGTAAGTGTTTCCTCCTCTGCAAGGCATCGCAGTAATGCACGAGGTTAACAGGCGCAGGGAAACGAATCAGACGCTCAAGTCATCTGGGCGGTTTTCTCCCTCTCTGTGGACAAAGCAATACGAGAACGAAAAAACACCAGTTTTGTCTAAAACAAATTACAGAATACAGCGCCGCATATCACAGTAACTGGGGACTGAAGTATAGGTGGATATGTGAAAATGTCGCATAGGTGAGTATCCATAAGAAAGAGAAGTTACATGGCGTACAAAAGGCTTACTGGAGACAAATTAAGTGTGCAAGCTTCTTTAAACGTGGGGAAATGCTTTTCCTGTACTGTACCTTTCGAAGTGAGCAAATCTACATGTGAATAAGAAACACATTTCCACACATATGAAAAGGTCAGATTTGTCACCTGCAGAAATTGATTTGCACCGTGCACACATACTACACTGGTGGTTAATAGGTCAGAGCTAATATGTATGTCAGGGTGGCTATGTGATGCACGGATAAGTGACATTACTGTATTATTACATTATATTTGACAGACAAAAAATGTGTCATGATTTTTAAAGCTGTCTATCACATCCTGAAGTAGACCAGATGCTCTAAGGCATTACACATATTTATATACATTTATTAAAAGTATCTCTAAATAACTAGCACAACGAAACATGATTTCTATTGCTCATATAGGAAAACGTTACAAAGATTTGTTACAAAGACTTATTTGCATATTTAGCAAAATCCTTTTTTTACATAATTTGTGTGGACGTGGGGGGTCAATCCACAAGTACATGGAGGAAAACCCAAACTTTCTCACAAACCGTGCACAGAAATAGCTTCTCGACAGATTGTTTGCTCTCGACAGCCACCAGTTTTCTTTTCGCAATGCAATGTTTTCTTGTAATCAATTAAAAACAAAAACACACCACGATAATCATTTGTTTTTTTCAATAGCGCCCTATGCACTGGGGCGTCTCATAGCGCTTTGCAACACACGTGTTCCTGTGCGCACAGGGTGTGAGCTCAGCACTTGGTCAGTACAGCATTAGTCTGCCAGTAGGGGGGCAATGATTGCTCTATATTATCCCAAGCATTGCATGTTCCAAAATAGTATGTGCATATTAAATTGTAAAAACCTGAGCTCAATGCAGCATGAAAAACAATTAGCTCAAAATAATCCGAAAAGGAAAATACTAAAAACTAACCACCTGACATTGTCCACCCGATTGCTTTAAAAAGGTGACTCTAAAATGCACTTCCTAGCATTTCCGCACAATTTTTTTCTCTCCCAATATCCGAAGGCGACCAAGTTTAAGAAGAATGCTTTGGCATTCCTGTCCACAGCTGAACCCGGAAGTTGCCTAAAAATAGAACGCAGCCACCTTCCTGGGCAAGTCCCATGTGTGGACTCGGGTTTTAGTGCACAGACAGACCCACGCAACTCGCCACCACGTACAAGTGTAAACAAGCAAGCACACACACCCACACACGCGCGTACACACGGCAAGCGCACGCACTTGTCCGTCCACGCAGCTGCAAACACTACCTCTGAAAGTTTCCTGCCTCTGGAAGTTTCCTCGTGAGTTCGGTCTTAATTTGGCAACTGCAAAGGGCCTCCAGTCGATATGGACTTGAGCTTAATAGGCACCAACCTGCATGTTAAATGCTTGTCACAGCCGCAATTTAAAATCAAACATTCTGTATAGCAGCAGCACTAAAACATTTCAAAAATATTGTGTCTGCATTGTTGTTTCTTTTATGTCAAGCAGACTTGTGAGACTGGTTAGAAACCATAAACTGGTTAAGCGCCGTGGGAAAGCAATTCGCGCTCTTAAATGCGTTTGCGAATCACCGAATGCATTTCTAAGTAGTCGTGCTTCAGGGTATTAACAGCGTTGGGTTTATTATTTGAAGGACAAGAGGATATGTCAGGTTAAATTAAAAAATTTGAGTCTTTTTTTTGTTCTATGTTTGCACAAAAAAATATCACTAAGCTGCACTGAGACATTTGGCTGGCCAAGGACAAAGGCCAACCGACCATTCATTCCGTTACGCTTTTCCAATACGTGCACGCTGAAGTGGCTTCGTACAAACGTCGAGGGTAAATTATTATAACGCCAAAAACAACGCGCCATTGAACGCACAACTGCAGTCGTACCGCAATTAGTAACAGAGAGAGAGAAAGAAGAGAAAATCCCACAGCGATGAAACTCCGGCTGCCGCTGCACGCCATGCTGCAGAGAGGAAGCTCTGTGCTCATCACTGGGCACAGACACAGAGTGGGGATTGTGTGGAAGAGAGCGTGGGCGGCGTGGGAGGGCTCCATCACCGAGAATAACCCGCGGTGCCGGGGCGATTGGTGGCCCCAGTGTTATTTAAACACGCGCAATCACCGCACCACCGGGTTCAACCCTGGGTGACGAGGTGTTTCGCCCGTTTTGCAATCAGGTAATTTCGAGCGGTTTCACACACTTTCTTTTCCAGAGGTCAAGAATTAATGCTGGAAAATATATGCATTGGATTCACGAGTTGCCAAACGTTCGTTCTTCGCTCACTTTCATTTTTTTACGTGGCAGTGCCTCCATTATCAAGAATAAATTTGGGAAACAGCCGAAGAAATTTGTTTGGGTCATTGTCAAGATTTGAAAATCTGGCTTTTTGTCTTTCAGAAGTAAAATTTCCTATTGGCTATAACATCTTGACAATGAAAGAGCTCATGGTTACAGTATACTAATTTATAGCCTTTTTTCAATCCGCTGTTGGATAAAGGATTTCCCACATGGTGTCGTTATGAGGCTTTTTTGATCTCACATGTCGAGCAGAACGGGTTGGTGATGGTAGTGCGCTTACGAGCGATTCAGTCTTCACCTGCCAGCGATGTTGGCTGTGGCCCGGAGTTCAACTCGGGTCACAAGATTCATGGCGCAGTGGAGAATAACCACGGTATCATTGCCCTCCCCGGTTATACAATATCAACCCAAATATAACACAGCAGTCCACATGACTGGCCCTGCATAATATATTACAAATATACGGGTACACCACAGACTCTGCCGCATGTGGGGGGGGGGGAAGTGTGAGCTCCCCCCTTCTTCAAACACATCTGAAGGGCGAAGAGCTCCCTCCAGTGGGGCATTTCCGCCAGCAATGGTGTGAGCAAGCGATTGCAGTGGTTCACCTTGTCCTGTTAATCTGCAGCAAATATGGCTGGAAAGTCCTGCATTGCTTATGCGTGACGAGACAAGAGAAGATTTCTCTGCAATCTCAAGACGGTTCCACGACAGGTTTGGTGCTCAATGCTCTGGCAACCACTGCGGATCGCACATGGCACGGCTCCACGCTCGCAGTGCAAAGTGCCCAGGCAGTCACAACCACGCCGGTGAAAACGCGCCGACGCAAATGCTTGCAGCAACCCAATGCTGCACATACACACACCTGACAGAATCAACCTAAGCTAGCGAGGGCAATGAGAAAAAAAGTAGGAGCCATGTACCGTGGGTGCCAAACTGTTAAACACATACGTGCGTCGAAAAAGGGGCTGGATGACACCTCCAGACTTTGGAGAAATTAATAATCTCTGTGACACACCGCCCACCATACCCGAACCAACCAGAATTCTGCAGCGCATGGATTGCATTGCCAGATGCCATGGATGCACGCGCACAGACCCGCAGCGCGGCCGAGTATCTGGTGACATGCGGATGAGCACATGCGTGTGCGTCCCAACGTAGTAGTGAGTGAAGCATTTGCTGCACGTACGCACTGTATGGGAAACCGCAGCTTACCCTGGAGGGCTGGAGGGGCGATTCGCGGTAACTCAGCTGTGTCAGATGTGCAGTAGCTCTTCGCAGCAAGGAAAAAACAGATTCCCGTTACTCATTACTTAAAATACAATCCCAAAATAATAATAATAAAACAATATCTTTCCGTGTGACTCATCCAACACGTGGTGACCTTAATAAGTTAAGGGCTTAATCCCAAGCATAATTAAACGAATCACAAGAGACATTGCTCAATGGAGGTGGCTTGTGTAGTAAAATCTAGGTCGGACGCAGATTAGGCTTTTTATACTCAACACCAATTTGCATAGTCTTGTTAAGTGCCATTGCTGGCTTAATAATAGTACAAAAAATGTAATCTGTTGGTATTCGCGCCATTCCATTCTTACACGGCAAAGCTATCACGAAAGACCTACGGTTTACTTTAGACATGTGTTCTGCTCTGCTGGAATGGCAACCACTGCAGTCAGGCAGACCTAGTGTCAGTGAGTGATAAAGACACCGATCCAAGTTGAAATCCATACCAAAAATAAACCAGTGAACACCCAATGTAGTCTCTTGGCATCGTATACACACAGATGACCTCGCCCGAGTGAGTGAATTATTTAAATTCCCATCATGTTCCAGAAGAACTACAATGCTGGAATTGGGCACAAGCACAATATAATCTTATAACTTGACAAAATCTACAAATAGTTTGAATTTGGTTCACGCAGAAAGAATGGCGCATAGGTTTGAATGAGATATAAACTGGTTTAGGTCTTCTGCTAAATCCTGAAAAAAACACAATCTCCATCATCAGCGAATCGAGTAATTCACCTCCTGTTATGATGCTGAAGCTGACAGAAAGCGAATGAAGCCTGTTGCAAGCTACGAGTATGCACATGAAAAGCATGCAGTGATGCCTAGAGAGAAAGAGTAGAACATGGATCAACAAATGCGCATCAGAAATCATATTGCCTGCGAGAGAAAGTAGGTCGGCATGGACTCGCCACCGATGGTCACTCATGGATAAGAATTTCGGGACATCAATTTCGTAGCGTAGTGCTAGTCACTGCGTGACACCGCTCCACCCATTGTCAATAATCAGCACCACGCCTGTGACCTCACAGATTCCCATTGCAGTGTTTCCCAACCTCCAGGACCCACGGTCGTCCCCCGCCACATGAGGGTTCGCATCTCCTCTATTCACATGCAAATGCTCACGCCAATAAGTCCATGAATTAGGCCCTGCTGCTTTACACTGCCGCCGGTTGTTTTGGCTGACGCTTACAGACAAACCGGCGTTGCGAAGGCTGGAGTGCTTTGCGTCGGAATTGCCCAACTCTGCCATCAGCAACGGGCGATCAATCCTCGCCTTGCACCACCCGCGGGGTTGGGGATGGTGTTCGGTTAGCATGAAACCCCGCTCCTTCGCTGTGGTAAATGAGGACGCTAAGCTCCTTAACCGACCTATTACCCACTCCCCACCACGCCCTCTCAAGGCCAATTTTTTTTGCCCGACTGCAGAGAACCCTGCAACCTAGCGCCATCCATCAGAGCCGACACAAAACATCACAGTCAGACTTTGTGGTAATCACAAAAGACTTAGTGAATAACTTAGAGTCCGGACCAGTCACATTAACAGCATGCTTGATATATATGCATGTCTAAACATGCATGATTACGCAGCCTGACCTAGTCGGTAGGCAATGAAGGAGAATGCTGGATGGGTTGAGGTTCAATAAAGGATGGAGGTATGACAAATTATAGGAGAGTTTTAGTTGATCCTGGAAACTTGGATGTGCCTCTATGGTACGCGGCGGCCTCCTCAGCACAACATTCGATTGTGTGATTATGAAATTAATGAGTTCATTTAGTCACGGTGTTTTTGTATTACTACTAGAACACATGACATGGAAACAATGACACCACTTTGTAGCAGCATTTGAATTTGGCTCAAAATGTCCCTCGCTTGCCCGGTGACTAGACGTATTTCTTAAAACGATTAAATAAAAAAATCAATCAGACTTTGCAGCTAATGTATTCGAGTTCTGTCTCGATTGCCAAGTTTGTAAATAAAAGAATCGAGATGAAGTCTGGAATGAAGGTAAAGGGTGGGACAGGAAGTTTGATGATTGGCGAAAGGTCCATGGCACTGCAAGGCAAAAGTGCAGATGTACACACAGATAAACGAGCACTAAACAACCATAAAAGATTAACACAACTATTAATTAGCTCGTGATCTTGACACTACGCCCTGTGGTTACGAAACCAAAATTGTGTGGAGACGCGCTACATTCTTCCACAGCACAAAGCTGCAAGGCAGCTTTTTACGCCTACCTACAACGTTTTTCACTCGTACGGATATCGGACATCAATGCGCATCCAGTATACGTGGCAAAATAAATGAATGCACACTAATTTTATCGAATGTAACACGGCAAAGTTGAGCGATAATGCAGCGCATTGAGCCATGGTGTCAAGAAGAAGAAAGTTGAGAAAGATCTCGTCCAACCAGTTATAACCGTGACTTGTGGCAGGATGTTGAAGTATACTCTTAGTTCTTTCGGTAAAGTCATGTAGGTAAAAAATGATATAAAAATTAATAAAAATCAAACAATAAAAAATCACGACGTTTCGGAGGCAACACAAGTCTCCGTCATCAGGTGGGACCGTCACAGCCAGATTTGCTGCATCAAGTGAGGCAAGGATTCAAGATGTAAGCCCTTAAAAGCAAGTTGAGGGGGGAGGAGAGGGGGGGGGGAGCTTATCAGAATGTGGTAGCCAATGAATGGAACGTGACTTTACCGAAAGAACTAAGAGTATGAATCCTTGCAGTCACGAAAGCTTCAAATCTAGGATGTTGAAGCTTAAGCATAGCGTGACCACGCCGTGGGACATCCCTTTACTTGCATTCTTTTCAATGAAGGATGTGAATTTAGCAACAAAAATAAGTCTGGTTAGTCACCTGGCAGGTAGGCTAAAATGTGGCAGGACTGGAGGAGTTGCAAAGATCTAACAGTGGGCACTAACGGGACATGCACGAATTGCTCAGCTGTCGAGACACAAATGAATGCCCGGCTGTCTCTCAGAACAGACTGTACTGGAAATAAATACATAGCCCAGGCAGTACGGAGGCCACCGGGCACATTAAAGCTAGCCTCTAATTCAGTTGCTAGGCTCTTGGCCAGATCCATGCAATTTCCACTTTCATAATTAGCTGTTTCCTCACTTGAAAAACACTTTCAAATGCTGAGCTAAGTCATGGAGCATTCAGTCACGTATTAATGCGATTTATGCAATGCAAAGTTTTATAACGCCACTGTAGACGGTGCATAGGCGACCCCGGGTGCTATATACACACACAGATGCCGTAATACAGCAAATTATAAATTGGTCACTCGTTAATAGAATCTGCCAAACGTTCCAATGCAGATCCCTCCCTCAACAAAAGACTCAGGATATGTCCAATTTTATTTTTAAATATTACCTACTGAAACAACTTTACAGAATCTAGTTTCTAACAATTTTACTGGCAGTGACATGCACTCCAGATAAGATTCAAATGTACTTTAGAGAAGACAAAATAATGTTATGAATGGAATGCATAATTGCACTGTACATCATGAAAGGACGTATTCTCCCTGCATTTCGTCACAATTCTACCCCCCAGTCCACTTCACTTGACAGTTTTTTGTTTCTCCCGGCATTATGAAATGAAAGGGCTGACAAGATGATAATAATCACCCGCCATGTTATACCCACTGCCGGATTAGGGTCTCCCCAATCCCTCCCCATCATCCTTCAGCCTCACAATGCCACAATCAGTCCAGCTTGTTTCTTCACACGAGCTATCTCGTCACTCTCCTCTTCGGCGTGGGTCCTTCCTTTTTGGCCGCCACTCCGTTGTTAGTATCAGCCTCCCCAAGATAAGCGTGTCAATGGGTCGACAGTACTGCATTTGACCATTGCGTAAGCCACAACACACAACCGTTTGAATGATGGTGACAAAAGCCATTCCCCACTTGGAATGGCTGTAGTATAGATCATGTGCCTGAGTAAAAAGTCTTGCGGCATTTGTATCAGCAGCAAGTCCTGAGCGGTGTTCTACTTTCCGAGTCTCATCAGCAGCGAATGGCCAATGTGAATCTTTGCCGATAAAGTGTGATACGGGAATTGAGGATGTTTGACACATGTAATGCGAAGAGCTCGCAATTGTTTGATGCGACAGCCGATGCCTCTTGAAATGGTGTCATTGAAATGGTAACATTGTCGCAACAGAAATGTTTCCGAGCAACTCTGCGCCAAGTTCACTTCAATACAACAACAGTACTCTGCTCAAGCATGCATTTTCTTCTCGATTGTGCTTTTTTGAATGTGAGCAAAAAGCAAATCGAAAAAGTGTGCAAAGAAACAAAGAGCAGAGAGGGGCCTCCGATTAAAATAACAGGCTTCTACAACGTGGGGAGCCGCCACCAAAACACCAGTCTGGGCATCAAGCGCCCACGCAAACAACTTGGATGTCCAGATCAACAGCGTCGTCCGAACAATAATGGACAATATTGAAACCAAGTGGCTCTCTACCCATTCTGGCCAACATTACGCAAGGAAACCTCCGGGTGGGATGCCGCGCCATAAAAGCGACTGTTCTCCACGTTGAGTACAATGTCTTTAAAAAGAGCGCTATGCTTCTCTAAATAAGTTAACGCTAACCGCTTGCACGTTCCGAGATTCAGCGGTGAACGGGACCCACCCTGCAACTTGCAGACGTCTCGGAACGGGAAAGGATGAAAGCGTCATCGAGGGCCTCACTACTGCTCCGCACGGCTCTGGTCTGCCAAGAAAACTGTGGTGGCTCCATCAACCGCTTCTCTTCCACAATTGTACAATTAGAGATGAATCACAGTGCAGTGACCACGGCCAGCTGAACCAAACAATGGACCACATCGAGAACTGAATTATTCTCCGGTTCTCTGGCGGATTGAACAATATCAGTTGTGCTACTCCCTAACCTATAGGGCCCACAAACTTAAACCTGGGCGTATACTTTACACGTACACTCGAAGAAGAATGTACCCCCTACAACCGTGTTCATTGCTTTAGCACACGGGTATGATGATTGTAATGATGATGATCCGTATAAACTTATAAAACATTTGTGGACTTGTCTTGGGAGAGAGATATATTATATAGTCATTGGCATGTGCATCGTGGAGCAGCTGCAAACAGCCTTGACCAAATTACCCTGAATTTGGCCAACCATATCAGCCTCTTGGAATCAGGGAAAGCCAAATGTTTACTGAGCCAGGTTAGTACTTTGAATGGGAGAGTGCCTGTGATTACCAGATGTTGAAGGCTTGGGCTGCGACATGGTTGCCAGGAGATGGAGGTACAGCAATAGATTCTTGAATCCATGCGTGCAGAGCTTGGTTCCCCCGTCATATGCATGGCTGGGTTTTTTTAAATCCTTCATATTAAGTTCGCTTGCTTGCTTGCGTGCTTGCTTGCTTACGACCGTGCAAATCTTTCGGTCGTTTTTTTAACCCACTTCCCGTGATCCGATCGAGCTGACATTTTGCACACAGACTCGTTGTGCGAGACAATTAATGTTCGTGAACATTTTTTCCTAAATTTTACACTGTTTAGGGAAAACAAATTAAATATTTAATTACCAATTGCTTAATACTGGCAGACAATCATCTGACCCATAGGTGGCAGCCATCTCAAGCCAGAGGACGAGAGGACTCTAGCCGCCACGCATATAAAGGATTTATAGTGAAAAACTTTGTTTTTACGGGTTATACTTATTTCTCTCTCTCTCTCTCTCCGGTTTCCTCCCACGTGAAGAAGCCACGCAATAATGGAACTGACCAAAACATCCCCACATGTTATCAGGACCCTCCTGATAAAGTAATCCTGGAACCGAGTGAAGCATTCCTCGATAGGTAAAGGACAATCATCATCAACCACGGTCAATCCACTGGATAAAAGGCATTCTAAGGACAGTCAAAGGATTAAAAAAGGATGTTATTGTTATACTAATGTGTAGAATGTTTCCTGACTAACGGCACCATCACGCTAAGCACGTGGACAGCAGCAATCCCACCCCCCCTCACCCTGAGGCTTGCAATGCTGCAAGTCAGCCAGCTAGATTACATCACACGCGTGTCCCACTTTTCACGGTTATTAGTAACAACATTAATTTAGTAAGAAACGTATGTACCCCGAACGCACGTGGATTAATTAAAATAGCAGCCACAATGCTATGATTTGCACCGTATTAACATCCTTCCGATCACTTTATCGCAATCATAGAGACCTACGAATTGACGAATCGTTGAAGTTGTCACTCACGGCACAGAACAGTTTGACAGAGATGTCGATATTTTCTTTCGGCGATTCAAACGTTGCCAAAGTGATCGATGTTGCCACATAGTCTCACACACACGGCGTATGCATTGAATGACGCCATTATATCCGTTATGGGTACAAGAAAATTCGAAACCATTTTGTTTAACATCGCTACCGGGATATTGTTATATATAACAATATCGTATCTACAGTAATATAGATATGAAAACGTAAGAATGTTTAGTATATACACGCGTACTCATTGCATTTAACGGTCCATCCCCGCTATCTTTACTGCGTTTATAATTACCCGGAATTTTAATGCCACGTAAGAGGAAAAGGAAATGATAAACACATTCGAAATAATTAACGTGGCTAGTCGCGTGCAAATGTAATAACCATTAACACACACACAGTTACTACACAGTAACACACACACAGTTACTACACAGTAACTGTGTGTGTGTGATACATCACAGGGATAGAACACGTACAGTACACACGCGGTCGTCATGGACATCGCTCTCTTTATCACATGGCACCGAAACAACCACCACACAATGACAGCGCCGGATGGTGATGTGCGTTGAATTGTCACACTGTGGTGATGGTGGTGGTGGTGATGGTGGTGGTGATGGTGGTGATGGTGGTGGTGATGTGGGTGGTGGTGATGTGCGTTGAATTGTCACACTGTGGTGGTGGTGATGGTGGTGGTGGTGATGGTGGTGGTGATGTGGGTGGTGGTGATGGTGATGTGGGTGGTGATGTGCATTGAGTTGTCACACTGTGGTGGTGGTGATGGTGGTGGTGGTGATGGTGATGTGGGTGGTGGTGGTGGTGGTGATGTGCATTGAGTTGTCACACTGTGGTGGTGGTGATGGTGGTGGTGGTGATGGTGGTGGTGGTGATGGTGGTGGTGGTGATGTGGGTGGTGGTGGTGATGGAGATGATTGCTGGTTGTGGATGTGATGATGATGGTGTTGATGATGATGGTGGTGATGGTGATGTGGCTGGGCTTGATGGTGGTGGTGGTGATGGTGATTACTGATGGTGGTGGTGATGATTGCTGGTTGTGGATGTGATGATGATGGTGGTGATGTGGCTGGGCTTGATGGTGGTGGTGGTGATGGTATTGCAGTGATGTGTAGCTACGTACGGAGTCGAGGAAGGCGGCTTTCGCAAATGGCAGCAGGTGCCGGCTGATGGGTGACCGCGGTGGTCGCGCGTGTTTAACACAGCGACTAAGCGTAGACCGGCGTGTAGAATAATTTATTATATATATTACATAAATATACAATGTACTCGTGCCTTCTACCTACCCTCTCAGCATCTCCGCGTATTTACAGCTTACAAATATAGAGTGTAATCTAACAAGCCTCGCGTATCTACACGTAGATATCGATAACTATATTATTGTTAGAATTGCCTCCGCGTTATTCGCAGTGCGAAGCGTGCACTCTCCTCCTCCTGTCGCTTGCTCTCTTAATGAAACAAAAAAACCCGACAGCGACGTCTCATGAACACGAGAACACCCCCACCGACCCCCCCCCCCCCTCAAGCCAAGCACCAAGCAATCCGTCAATTCACGCCGGCTGTCAAACGCAGCGGCTGCAACACAGCAACCACGTGCTCGCACGCGATTTAATAGGTGCGACTTGGCACAGGTGCGTGGATCCGTGTGTGGTGTTGTGTGTTATAATACACAGTACTGCGTCATAAATGCACACAGTGCCACCGCTGTCATCAATGTGGGAGGCTGCAGCGAGGAGAGAGGAGAAGCTTAACGCGCGATGTGTCACCGGCAGGCGACACTGTACGCGGCACGTGTCAACGCAAATTGTCTTTGTGGGGAGACGCGACACCGCACAGCGCCTTATAAACTACCACGGGGTGGGGGTGGTGGGGGGCGGGGGCGCGTGAGGCCTTTATCAGCTTTGGGTGGGGGGGGGGGCTCCTGCGGGGTGGGGGTGGTGAGCACGTGGTGATGGGGGGGGCGCGTGAGGCCTTTATCAGCTTTGGGTGGGGGGGGGGCTTCTGCGAGGTGGGGGTGGGGGGTGAGCACGTGGTGATGGGGGGGGGGCGCGTGAGGCCTTTATCAGCTTTGGGTGGGGGGGGGGGCTCCTGCGGGGTGGGGGTGGAGCTACCGCGGGGTTTGGGGGGGGGGGGACTTGCCCCCAAAAGGGGTGGGGGCGGGGCATAGCGTGCTTTGGGGTGGGGGCTGGACGCGGATGTTGCGCAATAGCGGTGGGCGACTTTGAAATTGGGGGCGGGGCGTTGGTGGGTTTGCAGAGGGGGGGGGGGGGCTGAGAGGAGTGGGCGGAGCGAGTCTAGAAGGTTCTGTGAGTGTGCCCCGCGTCTATTCAGGGAAGGTGAAGGCATCAAAACCAAACCGGTCAGCCCAGCCAATGTCCATCTCATGGTCGTTGTCATGAGTGACGGTCAACTGGTCAGTTCGCGCGAGGATGAAGTGGCCTGCCCCAAGCCACCGGTGATGGTCTCTCTGCAGAAGAGCCTCCCTCGAGGCTCAGCGGAAATAAATATTTGCACCCTGATCACTTGTGGACATGAGCTTGATTTAAAACTAAATTTTAAAAAATTAGCTCAACGAGGTGGCTTATCAACGTGAAATTTTATAGCAGACAAATACTCGAAACGCACGTTTCTAATTGTGGAGGTAAAATCCGGAGTACCCGGAGAAACATCGAAACGACCACGGGTAGAAACTCCAAATATACAGGCGTTAGGATCGGGATCGAACCCACGTAATCCTGTATACCAGGCGAGGTAGTTAACATCTCGCTACCATGGCACCCCATCATAGCTCCATCTCCCCGTTGTATGTCCTCTGGTCCTAGCTTTCCACATACGCAATCCAGACTTTCCCAACATCTATTACGACCCTCCACGGTGATTATTTAATGTTGATCTATCTACTCTGTTAAGTTACACATTACTGCAAGGTATTACATGCCGGCACGTACTTGATTGTTAAACACATCGCACTAAGGTATGTTGGCCCTTTATTCCAAACTGGCCCGATGTCTGGAAAGAGGTAGGAGTGCCCACACTTTACCTCCACCACCGTGACCAGCGCTGCGTCCAATGGGTCAAGCACTCCAGTGCCCTTCTACTGAACGATCTGCTAGCCCAGAGCGATGCTCGTAGCAGCTTTGAAGCGTTAGGTGGGCACGTCAAAATCCAGCCAACGCGTGCGAGCATTGTTTCAAGCGGGTGGCTGTGACGTCCCTCCGTCGTTGGGAGGCTGAGAGCGTCCTAACACCACCGTTCAATGCAACAAGAATTCACCGGGGCCTTAGAAATCTACGATACAGGCTCACCAATGCCTTTGAAGTTGTGTCAACGGTTTTGTGGGGCAATGTGCTAAACACACATCGACGTTAACTTATCTGCTACCTTTGTCTGTTCTTGGCATGCTGACAAGGTCAGTGCCCATCAGCTGCCAAGGTCGCAATGCCACAACAGGCCTAAAGCGGTGGAGGCAGTCTTTACATTCCTCGTAGCTTTCCACCCATAGCTTTACACCATGTCATTCCTCTGCAGTAGAATTGTCTAGCCATAACCAGCTGCATTTTTCCACAGCTCCCAATGGTCAGATCCATCATGACACTACCCCACAGCCTCTTACTCGTTCACGTAGCGACGAATCCAAGCATTTATATGCCATCTGAATAGCTTTTCTTCCACCGATTTAAACGCTTCTGCGCACTTCTTAACATTGCACCTTTGCTGTCTGGTGTGCAAAAGGGGCAACGATGCCACGCCGCATGTATGTATGTGTTCGTGTGTGCACCCCATTTCTGCATAAAGTTTGGAGACATGCGTCAATAAAAAAAAAAACTACTTTCGCAAAGGTTACGTGGCAGAGGCCTGCTGTTCGCAAGCCACAGCTTTGAAATGTTTGAGAAAAAAAACGCGAAAATCAAGGGTCACCATCCAGTATTTGTTATCCGACTCAAAAGCAAAGCCGTGACGCACAGCGGAGTGCATCGGTTCAGTGGGGATCTTGGTTACACACATAGACGTGCAGTGTTGCCCTGGGTGCAGGCCATGTGCTGGAGATGACCATACAGCAAAGGCCAATTGTGTAACCTAGTTCACACGTGGCAATGGTAGCGGGCACTTTTGTTCATACGAATCCAACAGAAAAATAACGAGGCATGACGTGGCTCACACATCAATAATTGGGTGGATAAAATATGTGGCGTATCATCTCCTCGTCATTGCTCATCTGCAAACCATTGCTCATCATTACAGCCATTGAACAACTCCGCGCACACACTTTTGCCATCAATAAACAGCTTTACAGGACACTTACACACGTGAATCGAAAAAAGCACCGTATCAACACTGTACAGTCCACCTGCACGCTGACCTGAAACGGACATCAGCATACCATTGCTTCGTATGCACTCAATCACAGAATCGAGGTTAAGCACAGGAGCGACATTCATATTCCGGTTAATCACTGCATTGATTCAAGAGATCCATAGATCAGGTAATCCCATTGATTCATTGTCGAGTCGTGTGATTTATGAGTGCAAGGCTAATTTTTGTGATTTCGCCACAGTCTGATTGTATCTTGTTACAGCCCGAAGCCTGAATGCTCTTCCCATTAAATACACTCGTGCCGATAATCGAACTGGAGTACCCATTTCTACTTAGGGGCGGATTTAACAAACTTTCTCATTCGCTAGAGAATTAACCCTTTG